GCTGCTGGTGACAGAATTTGTGGCACTGGAGGCTGACCACAGTATGTTATCAAAACGCAGAAGAAGATTTGCCCCAGCACTGTCACTAAAGTTTTCAGCAGCATTTATATCTTGGATATTTAATTTCCCTTCAGAAGGAATGCTGGAAACATCATTCTCATTTTCATTCTCACCTGTTTCCCTGTTGGCCCCAGAACTGGACATCTTCTTTGAACCTTCTTCTGCTAAAAGTCCATTGAACAAATGATGTCCTATAGAAGAAGAGTAGATTAATTTTCCCTCAAACTTCGAGTCACCATCTGAATCTGGGGGTGGAACATAACCGTCTTTTTCATTTGATAATGATTTTTGAAAGTGATTTTCCTTTGAATTATTATTTCTTAAATCTGGACGTGTCTGCTGAGGGTCAACAGAATCCATGAGTTCAAGGTGATTAACTTCTTGTTCATGAAATTTAGAAGTCGCATCACATGCTGATTCTGATAAAGATGAAGAACCCTCAACTGAAGCCTGTTTGGAATTCAAATTAAAGACTGGAAATAATTAAACTCAAAGCCAAATGCTAGATATATACTGTGATTTGATGCATCAAACTTTAGCAACGTTAATCAGTCAGTACCTTTGATTTTTCTTGAATCTGTGAATGCCACCCAAAGGAAGACAATGATTCAAGCTCCATGGATTCACAAGGAGTAAAACACTTCCCGTCATCTTTACATGTTGTATACTCATGGGAAGTCCAGAAGCAGTCATCTGTTGGTTGTGCTAGTTCAGCATGCAAATCACTATTGCTCCTGTTTAGTTGAAAGGGGTCCGATTCTATACCAAAATTGTTTGGCAAACTTTCAAGAAAACTATCTGTTCAGAGAAAAAAGTATTAAGAATTAGTGAAAACTGAAAAAGCAAACTTTAATTCAAAATAATAAAATAACATAAATAGCTATTTTACTTGAATAAAATAGAGGAACTTTAGGATCAGAACCTTCAGCATGTATCTGTTCTGCAGCAAGCTGTGGTGAACCAAAGTGAAATCCAGAACTTGCTTGGTAATTATATTCTACATCAACAATCATGCTCATCAGTGGAATATGAAAGGCATTAATGCATTCATCATCCAGAAAACTACCTTACATTTTCTAAATTGAACAGATTTACAATTCATGATGTCACAGAATAGACATATTGAAGCTAAACAAGGTTCACCTGATTGAGCATTTCCACGTTCCAATGCCTCTGCACCATCCGAAAGCAATGGTGTATTTGTATATTCTGAAACTGAAAGCACTTGGCAATGATTTGGATGAGAACCAGGACACCTGGAACTATCAATTTTAGAATTGGACATAATTTCTTCACTCTCTTGGCCTTGGGAATATGGACATGCCACTTGAGCCTCTTTAACACGATCAATATCTTCACTTTTTCCCTGATATAATTTCAGAAAAAGAATATAAGAAAAAAAGGGCTCTATGATGAAATTGTTCATCATCTTATTGACAAGAGTAAAGATTACGAAAAGTATTGGATCCCATCTGATTTTACTAATGTGTACGTCCAGTCCAGTGTCCAGAAACTTATCTTAACATCTGTAATACAACTTGCTTCTGTGACAGTAGACATTGAAGGCTTTAGATATAATTTTTTAACAAGTCCTCACAATGCCGTGATATGAAAGTGTAAGGTTACTTTCCTTCAGAAAAAAGCAACCAAGATAGTGGAACGGGAGGAAAAACATAGCATAAATCTGGCACATGACAAATGGCAACATTTTTATCACACTATGGAAACAACTGTTCATTTTAAAGTACAACTCAACAGCAACCACTCGGATGGTTGGGGATGAGGATACTGGTAAAGAAAAGTAGAAGATGAAGACTGAAAGGAACATCTAAATTCTAAACTAGATGTTTTTTTTTTTTTTTTTTCATTTTTGGTAAAAAATGGGATTAAAATTAACAAAACTGCAACATACAACTAAATTCTGAACTAGAAGCAAAATGCTAAAAATGTAGTGCAATTTGATTCATCAAAATTTTAGCAATGTTACTCTGTCAGTACCTTTAATTCTGCACGAATCTGTGAATGCTCCTTAACAATGCTGTCACTGAGAAACTTATCTACAGCATCAGGATGTGAGGAGGAAGACAATGATCTATCCACCATGGATTCACTACAAGGATGACAAGTTTCAGAATCATCTTCCGATGATGCAAGATTAAGGTAATTCAACCAGTCA